TGATGAGTACATGCGGAGGGCCCTGACGGGGATGGAAAGAGGCGCGGGGTGCTGTCTTTTCACCACGAGGACGGAACATCACGGGAGGGTTGGAGTAAACAAGAGGCAGGGCCTCAGCGTGCGCGGCGGCTTTCCGCGGGCCCCGCCGCGCCCCGCCGCGAGGCACGCCCGGGTCGGCTACATGGGCCACCTGCACATGCTGTGCCGCAAGCTCCTGGACTACCTGGTCCGCCACACCTCCCTCAACTCGGTCTTCAGCGAGGCCCGTCGGGGGCAGACGTCGGCGGCGCGGGGCGGGGCCAGAAGGGCCCCCCCCCCTGGGTCCCCGGAGAGGGTGCCGCCGCTCCGTGTTCCGGGGCCTGCCTTCTTCGCTCGCCTTCCTCTGCACGCTCGACCTCCATGTTATCCCCCCCTTCTCCCACTCTTCCTGCACCTGCACCTCCTCCTCCTCCTCCTCCTCCTCCTCCTCCTCCTCCTCCTCCTCCTCCTCCAGGCTTCGAGCTGCGGCCTCTCCTTCTCAACCTCTCCCCAGCAGACGGCGCTTGCCGGGGGGTGGGAGAGATGGCGCGTGTTAGTCGCGGGGAACGACACGAGGATGGGCAACAGGGTGGGAGAGACGAAAGAATGAGGAGAAAGGAGGGCAGCAAGCGCGACGGAGGAGGTCGAGGAGGGGAGGGGGGAAGGTCCCCCCGAACCCCAGAGGGCCTCTAGAGCGCCCCCCCAAAAGGGAGCAGCAGAGGAGGGATGAAATGGGACGGCGGAGGGAGGGGGGGAGGAGAGGGCGCCGTAAGGGGCACTTCCGTTTTTGGGCGGGGGGGCTCTGCGTTGTCCAGCAGGCGTGCCGTCGGCCCGCCCCCTTCCTCGTCTCGTGTCGCCCCAAGCCTTAGGTCGGGCCTGTCCCTCTACAGGGGGAATTTTCAAAAATAGGCAAAAAATATGCAGGGGACGATGTTTTGACCATTTTTGGCCATTTAGGGTGTATTGATGGGGTATTTTTAATTTTTCGTTCAAAATCCCCTAGTAGGAGGACATGCCCGACCTAAGCCAAGCCGCCCCGTCCCACAGGGCGGCAGCGGAGCGCGCCCGGGTTTGGCTCCTCTGGCTGGCGCCGGCGGTGCGGCTGGCGCTTCGCTTTGGTGTTTGCTGCCAGGAGGAAAAAAACACGCAGACACAAAGAATCGGCGATTCTCAGGAACATATGCCAAAGATACGGGGAGTGGCGGGAAGACGAAAATGCAAAAAGCAAAAAGGAAACCATGGGGAATCCTGTCATCTGTGTGAATTTATCGGTGTGTCCCTGGGCCCCTTTCACTTTTGGACCATCCACCAAGAAATCGTCGGCGGAGGCGGGCGGCCCAGGCTGCCGGCGGCGGGGCGCGGTGCAGGGGCTGTCGAGGCCCTGGGGCTTGGCGGTTCGCCCCGCGACTCCGGGTCGACGAGTTTGTAGTTGTCGTTTTACTGGGACGCTGTACGTACGTACGCGCGCGAGTGCGCGCGCGCGGTGGCGTCCAGTTCTCGCGCTGGGTAGTCTTTGGTGCCTGATGGGCCCAGCGCCATTGCGAGCGCCTCCCGCGCGCGGCGTGCGCGCGCGGTTTCACAGTCTGGATCACGCGTCTGGCTTCCGCGTCCAATGCGGCCAATTCCGCGGGGCCGCCGCGGGCGTGGCGGCCTCCTTGGAGGTATTTTGGAGGCCATCGTGCGCCAACTGGGACCATATTGCGCCATCTTGGGGGCCATCTTGAAAGTACCTGGGGCCATCTCGGAGCCCCCTCTGGGGCCCTCTCGGCACCAGCACGGATGCGCAAGGGACGGTCCCCGAGTGCGTCCGATGTCCACGCCAGGGTCGCAGGGCAAGGGTGGCGCGGCGTTTTCGGACGTTCAGACGCGGACCAATGTAGACGCCTTCCTCTACGCACTAGGTGCCGCAGTCGTGGACGCAGCCGTGTTGTCATGATGTGCGTTGGGTGTGAAAAAATGGCGCGGCGTTTTCACGGCACCAGTGAGGGAGGGTGTGCATGGAGTGGTCTCTGACCGCGGTCTCGGTCCACTCCAGGTGACATGGCGTTTCAGATGTAGCACGTTCGCGACCCAGAGAGGATGCGCAGGATGTGGTCCCTGAACGCAGACCCTATCCATGCCAAGTTCGCAGGGCGTGGCAGGCGTGGCCTGACGCCAAGAGGGGGTGCGCAGGATTCCGCCGCTGCACGTGGAGCGCCACGGCGGTCGCGGGGACGTCCCTGGCGGTCCGGTTTGCCCCGCCGTCCTTTTCTTCTTTATGTGCGCGTTACAGCGCTGGGAATCATCATTTTTGTGAAATTGCCTCTTTGGGTTGATGTGTGCAAACCGTTTTTCGACATAACACGTCGCAGTCATCATCGTCACCGTCAGAATCGGCGGTGTGATTGGCCTTTCCGTGAATATCGTCAGCATCGTCACCATCATCGTGTCAATCGCCATCGCGTCTGCCATTGCCGACGTCGCCATGACACCGCGCTCGCCCAGTTCCCGGCACTGCAGTGCCCGCGCGCCAGCCCAGCCTGCAAGCCGCGTTGGGAAGTTCTCACCCGTCAGCGCCAGCGCGGTTGCGCTGGCGCGCCAAATTCGCTGGCCACGTTGCGCGCGAACTTGCTCGCGGTAGCGCGGCCGCAGCGGTGTGCCAGCCAGCGCCAAGCAATCATCGCAATCGCAACCCCAGGGGTTTTGCGCAAAGGGTTGTGGGTGGGTGGCTGGGATGATTGCGCGGGCAGTGGTGATTGCACCACGACTACACGCTATATATATATATATATAGATTGCACCGTATGTGTTGCACCACATCTATTGCACCACGTAAGTTGCTCCACACACACATATATATATATATATGTGTGTTCCACATCGTGCGTTGCATGTCGTAGGTCGCCCCACATGGATTGCACAACGTTGATTGCATGAGCATCCTACAAAGCACATTGGTCAACACAGGTTGTGCAATACTTGTGCCGCATAGATTTCGCAAAATCCAGTGCACAACCTACTCATCACAACGCATCTATCTTACACACTAACGATTGATTCGCACACATCGTGATATACCGATCTCGCCACGTAGGGTTCATAGTATAGATTGCACCGCGTCGATTCTCTCTCTTAACAAGAGAGCAGACTCTACCCCCCCCGGCGTTATCCGTTCCCCTTTCGGGTATGTAAACCATATAGGATTATGACCACATGTCCATCCTAACTGTGAATTTACACTACCCCACGGGAACCGGGATCGGTCCCCCATGAGGTTCCCCTTCAAAAACCTATGCGCGGGGACATTTGTTGTTCTAACATAAAAATTTGTTCGCGAATCCCTTGCGAAAAATTTGACGCAGTGCACACGCGCGCGTCGTCGCGCGCGCATGCCGAAATCTTCCAAAAACCTTCGGTGTCGGAAAGGTTTCGCAATCGAGTCTCCAAACAACATACAAACACACAGGGTTTCGCAACACTGATGTGCTAAAAAAGCTTACGCGCGAGCTCTTGCGAAATCTCAAGAAATACATCGGGTTTCCAAGATTTTCGCAAAATGCTACCAAACGGGCTTCGCGCGCGCATGTCGAAATCTGTCGAACGCCCTTGCGCGTGTGCCGTCGCGAGAAGCCTCTGCAAAAAATGGCACGAAGTGCAGACGCACGCGTCGTCGCGCGCGTCTGGCGAAATCCTTCAAAACCCATCGGCTTCGGAAGGACTTCAACATCGTGTGTCCAAAGAACCTACAAAAACACAAGGTTTCGCAACACGGATGTTCAACAAAAGCGTGCGCGCGCGCTCTTGCGTCGTCGTCGTCGTCGTCGCCGTCTTCCCTCCTCCCGCGTCGTCGTCGTCGTTGTCGCCTACGTCGTCCTCTGTCTTTCCTCGTGTTCGTTGTCGTCGTCCTCTTTGGCGTCGTGGTCGTTTCCGTCGTCGTTGTCGCCGTGGTCGTCCTTCCTCCTCTTCCCTCGTCGTCGTCATCCTCCGTCGTCGGCGTCTCATCGTCATCCCTCCTATTCCGTCGCCGTCGTCGTCGTCGTTGTCGTCGTCGTCTTCCCTCCTCCCTCGTCGTTGTCGTCGTCGGCGTCGCCGTCCTTCCTCCTTCTTCGTCGTTCGCGTCGTCGCCGTCCTCCCTCCTCCCTCGTCGTCGTCTTCGTTGGCGACGTCGTCGTCGTCGTCGTCTTCGTCGTTGTCGTCGGCGTCGGCGTCGTCGTCGTCTTCGTCGTCGACGTCGGCGTCGTCGTCGTCGTCGCCGCCGTCGTCGTCGTCGTCGTCGTCGTCGACGTCTTCGTCGTCGTCGGTGTCGTCGTTGTCGTCGTCGTCGGCGTCGTCATCGTCGGCGTCGTTGTCATCGTCGTCGTCGTCAGCGTCGGCGTCGTCGTCGTCGCCGGTGTCGTCGTCATCGTCGTCGTTGTCGGCGTCGTCGAAGTCGTTGGAGACGTCGTCGGTGTCGTCGTAGTCGTTGTCGGCGTCGTCGTCGTCGTTGTCGCTGTCGTCGTCGGCGTCGCTGTCGCTGCCAAGTGCCAGTTGGTACCCACCGTCACGGTCTTAAGAGATTTTGCAAACCAAGTTGCGGGTGGGTGGGTGGGATGTTTGCGCGAGCAGTGGAGTGGACAACTCACTGCGAACAAAAATTGATTGCACCACCTAGATTTCTCCACGTAGACTGTGCACTAGATGTTGCACGTTCTACATACATCGCACCATCGCACCAACTCTACTGGGCAACATAGGCTGCACATCATGTATTGCACAATGCTGGCTGCACAACGTAGATTGCTCCACATAGATTGAATACCAGCCACAGTTGTCATTGGCATCGCTAGCTCAGTTAACATAGCCATGTTCCCACACCACTCCTACTTCCCCGCCTCATCGCTTTCCTGGTGTAAATGTTCCCCTCATCCTTCTCATCGTCCTCCGCTTCCTATTTTCGTTACTCTCCCCTCCGCTGCCCCTCTCCCTCCGTTCTCTCGCCCTTCCTCTTCCCTACCCCTGCCTCTCCCGCCGCTTCTTTTTAGCGGTATCGCCACGCAAATCTGATGCCGTCTTTTGAATGGCCTTGCGCACCGACAGCGCTTATTTCTACAACGGTCCACGTACGTGTGAGCGAATGCCTTGATAGCGACGGTAAGAAATAGCCAAAGAAGTCATGGAAGTTGGGAGTTCGCACTGTTACATACGCAGGACTCCCCCTTGTAGAAGTTCGCGCGCAGTGCTACAGTCGGCCAAGATTAGTAGGTCGACCCTGCCATCTCAAGGGTACCCTTGTGTCCTGTGTCTCGCGACCCATGCCTTCTACATTCCCATGGCAACGTGGCCCTCGGAAGGGTCTTGTGTCCTCTCGCGTGTCCTGTCCAATCAAGCCCGACTGTACGCGGATCCAGCGCTTGGGGCCCATGCGCCGAAATCATGTTTCGTTTGACTTGCTGCGTTCCAGCGTGTGTATATTGGTGAGGCCTGGCTACCCAGACAGAGGGAATATGTACTAGAGGCGGTATGTGCACTTGCAGGGCGAGTCCGTCCCAGTTCGTCTAACGCTGTGTGGGCTGTATGCGACGTCGGATGCGAGCGGAGGCACCGCGCTTCTCGGAAGGTCTCCCTTCGACGTGCCGTTTCCGACCCTTCCGCGCTGAAGGTGTCGCCGTGATGCGGCCGCGGCCGCGGCAGCGCGGTACCTGCCGCGCGGAAGAAGCGAAAGGTGCACGTCGAGGGTTATGTTGCTCCCATCGTACTCAGGAACCAGATTACAGAAATAATCTCGAGCACCCAGAATGATATCGAACAAGTGTCGAACGAGTATTGCCTCCCAGGGCCCGACACGTGCAAACCCTCCAGTGTCGGTACTTACTTGGTGCTCGAAATTCTTTCTGGTGCTCAAGGCTAAAGTCGGTTGGAACATCAAGGCTAAAGTGATCAGGGTGCGAAAGGTGGAAAGGAGGAGGAGGAAGAGGATGAGGAGGAGAAGGAGGAGGAGGAAGGGCAGGAGGAGGAGGAGGAGAATGAGGAGGAGGAGGAGGTCGAGGGTCTCCCCCGAGGGATGGGATCGAGGACTCCTCCTCTCCGGAAGGGGCAGGTGGCAGGAGGCCGGCGGGCGCAGGACGAGGGCGGCGATCCGCCGGCGCAGGCCGGCGGGACGGGCGTCGGGAGCAGGCGGAAGCAAAGTCAATGTCAAGCTTTCACGGGTAGGTAGGTTGGGGTCCGAGGTGGACTTCTCTTTTCTCTGCAGAGCGTCCGCACGAGCAGATCCGCGGAGAGAGGCAGATACGAAATTCGCCAATGTCGTATCTTCGTAGGCTTCGCACGTGCAGACAGCAGGGGGAGACACATGATACAAACATCCCCAATTTTGTATCACCGTAACTTTTTGGTTCAGGCGCTTGGGAAGGCGTAACCACGGCCTCACGTCCTAACGCGTGAGGCGCCGAACCTCTGACATAGCCTTGAGTCGTATTGCAAAAAAGTTCGCGGAAGCAAAGTTTGCGCCCTCACGTCGGCGGCGAGCGAGGGGGGGGGGGGTTCTGATGGGCCTGTTTTCCACACCCACCATGAGTTGGAGGGGGGGAGGAGAACCTCCTCCCCCTCTTCTTCTTCTTCTTCCTCCTCCTCCTCCTCCTCATCCTCCATCTCCTTCCCCCCTCCAACTTATGGTGGTGGTGGTGGTGGAAAACAGGCCCATCAGTTTCGTGTTCGAGCTTGAAGGTTTTCGGGCGTTTTCGTCCGTTCTTGGCATTTCTCCAGGCTCGGGATGCTTGCCAGCAGCTGCGCCTCGCCGAGAGCGTTTTGGGGGTGCCTGGATCGACCCGACCGGCCACTGGAGACCTGAGTTATGACCCAACAACCAAATTCGGCGGCGCGCCCGGGGGGGAAAGTGAGGAGGAGAAGGTCACCTCAGAAGGCGGCGGGGCTTCTCAGAGACCCTCGCGCCTTCTGAGAAGCTTCCTGCGTTTTCAGGGAAGGCTTTGGAAACATCTCAGAAGGCTGGGGGACTTCCGAGCCTTCTGAGATGGCCCGCCCCTTCTCACTTCCTACCCAGGCTGGCCGCCGACTCATGGGATGTGAACCACCTGTTTCATGCGCTCTTCTCGCGCGCCCTCTGAGTGCAGGCGCTGCTCGCCCCTGGGTCGCGGCTTGCTTGGACGAAGACTGAGAATGTGAGGAATAACACGATGAAGAGACGTGTTCCTCCTCCTCCTCTTCCTCCTCCTCCTCCTCATCTTCCTCCTCCTCGTCCTCCTCCTCGTCCTCCTCCGCCTCCTCCTCCTCCTCTCCCTTCTCCCTTCTCTCCCTCTACCATCTTCTCCCCCTTCTCAATATTTCCTTTCCTTCCTCGTCCGCATTCCTCCTCCTCCTCCTCCTCCTCCTCCTCCTCCTCCTCCTTCCAGTCATGCCTCTCGCAGTCTTCCTTCTTTTTCTCTTACTGGGGACGGGAGGTCAGCGGCTGGACGGACACCATCATTCCAGCCATGCACGAGCACAGTGCGATCGTGATCGCGGAGCTAGGTGGCCCCTCGGCCCCTGGGCGGCAGACGACCAGCAGGAGGAGGAGGAGAGGAGGAGAAGGAGGAGGTGGAGGGGGAGGGCGAGGGGGATGGGGATGATGAGGAGGAGGAGGAGGAGGAGGAGGAGGAGGAGGAGGAGGAGCAGACGGCAACGAGGACGAACGCATTTTATGGGCAGGCGGGAGGGAGGGGGAAGGAAGTGTGAAGGGAGAAGGAAGGGATGCGGGGGAGGAAGAGGAGGAGGAGGAGAGGGAATGGGGAGGGTCAGGGGGGGGAGTTGGGGAGGGGGAGGTGGGGCAGACCAGAGGAGGCAGGGAGGGGGAGGCAGGGGGGGGAGTGAACGGGGCGGGGGGGGGGCATGATGATTCACGGGGAGGGACGAAGACGAGGGAGGGGGGGAGGGGGAAGCGGGGAAGGAGGAGGTTGAGCAGGAGGCGGAGCAGCGGCAGTAACAAGAGGAGGAAGGGTGGGGGGCGAAGGGGGAGGAGGAGGAGGAGGAGGAGGAGGAGGAGGAGGAGGAGGAGGAGGAGGAGGAGGAGGAGGGGAGGAGGAGGAGGAGGGGGAGGGGGGGGGGGAGGAGGAGGAGGAGGGGGAGGGGGAGGGGAGGAGGAGGAGGAGGAGGAGGAGGAGGAGGAGGAGGAGGAGGAGGAGGAGGAGGAGGAGGAGGAGGAGGAGGAGGAGGGGCGAGCAGGAGAGAAACTGAAAACGAGAAAGAGAAAGAGAGAGGAAACAAACAACACACACAAGAGTTGGATGAGCATGACATGACCGAGCGTAACGGAACACTCGCGATCCAATCTGCGCTCAGGTTATGAAATCAACGCGGAGAAAACGGAGGAGGAGGAGGAGGAGGAGGAGGAGGAGGAGGAGGAGGAGGAGAGGATGAGAGGGGAGGGGGAGCAGCAGCAGCAGCAGCAGCAGCAGCAGCAGCAGCAGCAGCAGGAGAAACGACAAGAAGAACCAGGGGGACGAGGAGGAGGAGGAGGACGAGGAAGATGAAGTTACGCTCCGGGTGTGTGCCTCGCAGTCTGCCTAAGAAAACGAGGAAGAGGAAGAGGAAGAGCAGGAGAGGCGACGGCACCTCGAGGGCAGCAGAGGATGGGACTGCGAGACGGGCGAGGGAAGGGGGAGACGACAGGGGGAGAAGGCGTGGCGCGGAGGGGGGGCGCTCTGGCAGGAAGATCGAGGGCGCGGGGCAGGGGGGCGAGAGGTGAATGGGGCAGGGGATTGAGAATGACTTAGCATCGCTCGCAGAAGAGCAAACTGTATACGTACAAACCTTCGGCGCTCGGCGCGGATTTCCTGGAGCTGCGCCGGGCCCCCCTGCCGGCGCCTCCGGTGCCTCCCCTGTGGCCCGTCCGGCCTTGCCGTGGACTTTCGGCCCAAACCCACGGCGGATGTGGCTGAAATGTGCTTCCCCTGTAGCCTGAAAGGTGCTTGTGCTGAGAGGTGTGGGTGCGGCGTGGGAAGGCCTGACCCGCCATCCGCAGCTGTCCTCCTGCACGGATCCTGGCCAGGCCCAGCCTGAGCGCAGGATCGGTGCACGTCTGGTGTACATGCCCTCCTGGTTTGGCCTGGAAGCATGCGCCAGCGAGCGGGAAAGGGGGAGGGGGAAAAGGGGTGTGTCGTCGTCGTCGTCGTCGTCGTCGTCGTCGTCGTCGTCGTCGTCGTCGTCGTCGTCGTCGTCGTCGTCGTCGTCGTCGTCGTCGTCGTCGTCGTCGTGTGCGCTCGCGCCGCACGGATCCCGGGCCCCCCATCACCTGCGTCGTCCTGCTGCGCCGTGGGGTCGCGGCTTCGAAATCTTGGTCAGAACGCACCCGAGGAGAGGGCCATGGAGTGCCAGGGGAGGAAGAAATAACACACAGACACAAATAATCGTCGATGCCCCAGAAAGTATGGAAAATTGATGGGAAGTGGCCCACTTCCCATGTATTTTCCCAGGAGGGGAGCACGAAATTCCGGAACATGCGAAACAATATGGGGAATCAGGGAATTTGTGCACCTTTCTTTGTGTGGCCCTGTGCGCCTTCGTGGTATGGTTCAGTCGGGCGTGTCCCTCTACAGGGGGAAGGTTCAAAGATAGTAAAAAGATTGCCTGGGGACGATTAAAAAAAAACAAAAAAAAAAAAAAAAAATGTTGGCCCTTCGGGGGCATCTTGGGGGTATTCTGAAGCTTTCGTCCAGAGTCCCCCTGTAGGGGGACAGGCCCGACCTGATGGTGTGCACACCTTTGGGGCTCCCACGCGCGTCGCAGAGGCGGATGGGCTCGCTCCACGGGCGGCGGCGCTCCGGGGCACCGCCGCGGCGCGGGGCAGTCGGGGTCGAGGCGGCGTGCTGCGAGGCCTCCGCGGAGGCCTCGCTCCGCCGATGCGCGGTGCTCCGACGCACGGGGGTTACGTCGGGCCTGTCCCTCTACCGGGGGGGAATGTTCAAAACGAGTCAAACAATAGACCGGGGACGATTTTCTGAGCATTGCTTGACCATTTGGAGGCATTCTTCGGGTATCTTTATTTTTTCGTCCAAGATCCCCCTGTAGGGGGACAGGCCCGACCTAGCACTGGGGGGCGAAGCCCGCCACGCCATGCGCACGAGGGCAGGCGAATGCGAGATGATGTGCCCTAGCGCGAGGAAGAGCCTCAAGCAGGCCACAGCGGCGGCCAGAACGTGTTTTCACGTGGGCCGCGGCATAAAATGGCTACGTCGTCTTGCGTATGGCTCATTTCTGTGCGTCGCTCACGTGTGGAGCCACTCTCAACAGGCCCGCTGGACAGCCGCAAGCGTGTTTTCATTTGCGTGGCGGCCTCAAGCAAGACCCAGAGGCCGTCGTGGGCGTATGTTCACGTGAGTCGCAGTATCCAGCAAGTCCCTTGGGCCGCCAGACTACGTCTTCTCAAATGCGGCGCAGCCTCCCGCACACGTCCCAGGAGCCGCCAAAGCCGCGTGCCCAGTTGTCCAGAGGGCCCCCAGGGGCCGCAGCAAACCTGGGGTTTCTCGATTCTTCCAGCTGGAGCCCCTTGGTCTCGAATCTGAGTGTGGGGCCCCTTTCTGACGACTGTCCGGGGCCGCGGAGGACGTCGGGGAGGTCGTCTCCTTTGTGCGTCGGCGACGGAGAAGGCGCAGCCCGCCTCAACGCGTCGCTTGGAGGCTGGCGAGCTCAACATCGCCCACACCGTTGTTCGTCTAGCGTTCTGCTGAACGCTCCAAGAAATGGTTACAGGAATGAGAGTGGGAGGGGCGGGCAATGATGGGGGAGTGGACGAGGGGGAGTGGGTGAAACGGAGAAGGAGAGGGGTAGGGATAGGACGAGGAGAGGCTGGAGGAGTGAGACGGGGAGGGCGGCGATGGGGGCTGTCATCTCTCATCGCGCTCCTCTCCCCATTCTGCCCCTCCCTCCTTCCCTTCCTCCACCCCCACCTCCCTCTTCCTGGCTTCACATCCCACACATCCCGTTCCCTCATCCTCCACGTCCCCTTACATCTCACTCCTTCTCATGCCCCATTTCTTTTTTCACTATGAATTTATACTCCTTGTTTGCCAACCAGCCGGCCGATAGGGGGTTATACGGCACCTACCACCAAGCTTGCTAGTTGAATCCCTCGAGACCCCACTTAGGTTTCTCTTTTCAAATAATTTTAATCAGTTCTGGACATTCAAAGCAGTTCTGGACAATGCCATGCATTGCTTAGCCGTGCTCGGCATCGTTTGACATTGCATGGCGCTGATTTGCATTGTTTGGCATTGCTTGAACTGTTTTCATGGCATTGCTTGGACTCGTTGATTGGTATTGATTTGTTTTGCTTGGCGTGGCTCGGCATTTCTCGGCATTGTTTGGCGTTGAGTGGTGTTGCTTGACATTGCTTGGCATTGCTTGACATTGCTAGGCATTGCTTGGCATTCCTTGAAATTGCGGAGCATTGCTTGTCATTGCTTGGCAGTGCTTGCCATTGCTTGGCAGTGCTTGTCACTGCTTGGCATTGATTGGCGTCTCTTGTCAATGCTCGGCATTGATTTGGCATTGCGTGACATTGCTTGGACTTGCACGGGCGACAACCCCAAACATTATCGTGCAAGCCCATGAGACGAGCAACCGGGAAACGCCCCAGCCCGTCTCTGATGACGGGTATCGTGCCCACTGCACGGGCAACCCCTGGCAAGCCCGGGCGACGAGGAACCGGGCAATGCAGGGCCCCGCCTCTGACGACGGGGGACGTACCCCCCAGTTTCACCCACGAGCAAAAACGATGCCTCGAGGCAAGCCGAAGTTGTGAAAGTTAGCAGGATGTCTACGATTTTCCTTTCAGCAAGGACGATGTCGGCGTTGCAAGATGCGCGGCGGGAGTGGGACGGTGCGCGCAGCCCGCTCGAAAGGGCGAAATGTCGCCCTCGTCTTGATGTCGCGCTCACTTCTCTCGAGAATTGAGTTCCTGCTCTGGCGCGGCTTCTATGTTTCGCTCGCCACCATGTCGACGGGCGGGCGAACGAAGAGAACACTCGCCTCGGCACCGCGCATGTTTCGCCTGCAAGCGGCGCTCTCTTCCCGCCGCTGCGAGCGTTTTTCGCCCGCCAAAGCCCAAGCGCCGCGCAGTTTCTGCGTGAAAGTGGCGGTGCTCTTTCGGCGCGGCGCATGCTTCATCTTCGCCGCTCTCACGGGAGTTTCGGCCGCTCGAGAGAAGGCTAACTGGTGCTTCCGCCGCAGGGCCGCCCAAGGATTTTCTGAAGTTTCGCGCTGGGCCGATCGCGGCCCGCGTTCCAGTCCTCCTCGCAGAGTCGTCGGAAGTGAGACCGCGCGCGAGTGCCTTCCTTCCGCTATGTGGAAGCACGGTCCCGCCGACTCGTTCCCTTCCCTCTTCCCCTCCCCCGAACCTCCCAAACTCCCGGTCCCAGCTCCACCAGCTTCTCCTCAGTCCTGCCCACCCCTGCCCACGTGCCCTCCCCCCCATGGGTCCCAGCTCCCCCAGCTTCTCCCTCCTGCCCCTTCTTTCCCTTCCCCTTGCCCCACCC